AAGGAAATGCCTGTATTTCTGCAATTTTAATACCACATATCAAAGTAACTGTTTTATGTTGAAGGTATTTATTATATTAGCATCCCATGCTTCCCCATGCTTCCTCTAAAGAGCTCAAGGATATGTGTAGTATTTTCTCTTGCATCCTCATATATATGATTAAATTAACATAGGAAGGGCATTAAAAGTGTCATAGAACTTGTTGATATCCACCATTCTTAGAGGGGATGAAATTCAGTGCCAGTGTTTCCTCCTACTTCTGCACGGGCTTTTGAGATTAGGAAATCCTGATGTTAGAAAGGCCCAAAGGGGGAATGATTGGGAAGAGGCAAGATGAACATTTGCTGAATTCTAAATCCTTTGGCATTCTGCCATTGTTCAAAATTATTGAGTAAATTTAGATCAGCTTAAGAGCTGGTACTCCAAAATATTATCTGTGTGCGTGTCTAACACACACACACACACACACAATCTTCAGAGAAACACCAGATAAAGCCATACACTGCTCTCCTCTTTCCAGCCTGTGCTTTGCAAGGCGTTTGGCTATGTCAAACCACTCACAGTGGAGTGTTATAATCATCCATAAGGATTGTTCTGCAAGTGGTCCAGTATTAACTCAGGCTTGTATAAATTATTGAAAACTCTGGCCTTCTTAGTCTGAGTCCCACACTCTAGCTCAGTGTTTCTCAACCTTGGCAACTTTAAGATATGTGGACTTCAACTCCCAGAATTCCCCAACCAACATGGCTGACTGGGGAATTCTGGGAGTTGAAGTCCATGTATCTTAAAGTTGCCAAAGTTGAGAAACACTGCTCTAGCTACTATACCTTACTACTGTAGTTCTCTTCCTGTAATTCATTATATGCTGTGTAATCTCCTTTGGCATTCTGGAAATCCTGTGTTTCTGCTATTTAAGTGAATACTACCTGATTCTTTCATTTTCTGGTCTCATCTTGATAATAGCCTCTTAAGTGAAATTCAGACTTTCTTATTCCTGTTTACCACATGGGTGTCTGTGTCACCTAAAATAATTTTCCTTCTCTCTTTTCAGAAATATGCTTATATGATAAATTCAAAGTAGCATTATTTATAACAACAGTCACTATCCAACTCTAAATTATGTTACATTGGTTTTGGCAATCAATTTATAAAAATAAGAATTATGAACAGGTATTTATTTTATTGCTTAGTGAAAGCTTTCTTCATTTGTGCTGAATATGTGAAGTGCATCTCCACTGAATCTAATGTTGTGGATTGCTTGATTTCGCCTGCCATCTTGTGGTTCTCCTGGGCAGGTAAAGGATTGCTGATTCAATCCAGCCTGAATGTTGGACTGAGCCGGATTCAGTAACGACAGAAACCATTTCAAAACACAGAGTAGCATTTTGTTTCACCTCTTCATTGGCAAAGAGAATATATGTTATATAGAGGAGCAAAGTATTGTTTTAAGGCTGTGCTTATTTTTTTTACAGTTGAACTCTAAGAAACGTTTTCTCCAACTTGAAATATTTCTATGTGGTATAGTCTTAGATATTTAAATTAGATCAATACTACAAAAATGTGTTATTGTAATTTCTCACCATCTTTATCCTTGATGATTGTTTTTATTTGATTTGATGTTTTTATGTTTTCTCTAGTTTTATATGCCGCTCAGAGTCCATTAGAGCTGGGCGGCTAATAAATTCAAGTTAAAAAAAAAAAAAAGATCCACTACATACCCTTATTAGCATTGCTAAAATTAGAAGGAATATCCTGTGTATCCTAGTCCCGTAGTCAAGAGTTATTTCCTGTCCTGCTACAAAGCGATCCAAAATTCTGCTATTTAGAGAAAATAAATAAAGATCTCTTCTTATGTTGGAAAGGACAGGATCTTCCTTACTAAAACCCAAGTTAAGCACATATAGTTGGAAATAGATTCATGGCCTTGCATGCATTTTATTGGTGAAGCTTTATCTTTGCCTCTTCCCGATTCTCTTAATATTTGCAAAGTTGTACATCTTGCCTTGGGGCAACAGTAAATGAAGTAACTGCCTTATAATATTTTGCTGATTTTCAGCCATCCTACATAAGCCTTTAAAAAAAAAAAAGGGCTAAAGTATAAACAAAGTTTATACTTTAATCCCTCAAATGTCAATAACTTGTCAAAGCTGTAGAGGGGAAACGGAGGAAGAAACCATATTGTACCTCAGGAGATAGAAGAACATTCCAACAGTGTAAGCTCATCAAATTAACTCAGTTTTGAAAGCTGCCCCCTGCCCCCATCCTCAGGAAAGATCATGGTATTTCTACCCAGTTAGTTTAGTTCTTTGGCTGCAAGTTTTGAACTTCATTGTTATGTATTGGTGCAATGCCAATAGTTTCGTTTTATTTTTCCAGTTCTCTCTCTCTCCTCAATCTGCAGCCACTCCAGCTTCCTACAATCAGTGATCTGAAGGAATCCCATGGAAGAGCTGCTTCATGACGATGTCTTTGCATAGATTTAGTTCAAGTATATGAAGCCAGGGAAAGTAAAGATCTCTGGAGTGTAATTGTACAATAGTGACAGGATGTTCATATAACTTGCCAGTTGGCTGCCTTTATTGATAGATAGATAGATAGATAGATAGATAGATAGATAGATAGATAGATAGATAGATAGATAGATAGATAGATAGATGGATGGATGG